CAGAGGGAGAGAGAGAGAGAGAGAGAGAGAGAGAGAGAAAGAGAGAGAGAGAGAGAGAGAATGAGAGGAGAGTCCAGGGAATTCGACGTCCACCTTCGAAAAGAGCGTGCCTACATAGGGTGAAAAGCCATGAAAACTTCCCGAAAAAACAAAAGTTCAAAACGTGTATGTATGTATGTGTGTGTGCGTGTGTGTGTGTGTGTGTGTGTGTGTGTGTGTGTGTGTGTGTATGTATGTATGTAAGCGTGTGTATGTGTGTGTATGTATGTATGTATGTATGTATGTATGTATGTATGTATGTATGTATGTATGTGTGTGTGTGTTTATGTGTGTATGTGTGTATGTATGTGTGTATGTGTGTGTGTATGTGCATATGTGTGCATGTGTATGTCTGTGTATGTATGTATGTATGTGTGTGTGTGTATGTGAGTGTGTATGTATATGTGTGTGTGTGTGTGCGTATGTATGTGTGTGTATGTGTGTGTGTATGTGTGTGTGTATGTGTATGTGTGTGTACGTATGTATATGTGTGTGTGTATGTGTGTATATATGTGTGTATGTATGTATGTGTGTATGTATGTGTGTGTGTTTTGTGTGTGTATGTGTGTGTGTGTGTGTGTGTGTTTTCAAGACAAGGCTAGCCGTTCAGAAGTCCGATATGATACCAACTGATTTATTGGCGCGCCCACATTATATGTATAATCAATAATATTATTAATTATTTTGTAACTACTACTAATAAGAGTACTATCCCATCATTAGTAGCCACAGCATTACCAGCCCCAGCATTTGTCAGTAAAACAACAGAGGGACAAGAAGTGCACCCAAAGTATAGTCAAAGATCGTACATAACAAGATAGTTCACTCCTCTCTTTGAGCCAATTGAAAAAGTGTCCTCAAAATCCGGAGGCGCCCTCTTCGAAAAAGTGCGGATTTTGCCATCAGAGTTACCTTGCTTGTGTGAAAAACAATAAAAGCGAAACTAACAAACTATGCTATTCCTATTCTTCTTCTGGAGAAACGAAAGAGAGCTCCAAAACAAAGACTGCAGCGCCATCTGAACCAATGCTCGGACTCCCGCAGATACTTTTTTGGCCGAGTGAACTATCCTATTATGTACGATCTTTGGTATAATATATACATGTATTTCGGAACTAGAAGAAGAAGTTGCGGGCGCGTAAAACCCCATACTACTACTAGAAGAGGAATTCCCAAATCCTTTGCAATTCTTTCAAACTTACAGTTCTGATGACGTCATAATCTATCTCAATCTGCCTCTCCGTCCCTGCTGTATGGTCCACGTCCCGTTTGGGAAGATGGCGGCGCCATTGGGGGTCCTGTCGGGGGGGGGGGGGGAGAGATGCAACAAACAGATCCATTACACAACAGCGTACATCCGTTATGCTTAGCCTACTGTTTCCTGTCGTGCTTGGTCCCGTTTCGATGCAAGTTTTGCGATTGAGGGTGCCGTACGCCCTGGGGTCATTTTGTACCCCCGGAGTTGTATTCTGTTTCACATTTTAGAATACTTCTAGTGCGAAGATCTCTTTGAAACTTATAGAATTTCTTTAAAAAATATATTTTGACTGACTGCTATGCCAAGCGTACGGATCGGATTAACGAATAAATTTCCTCTTCGGATAGTGGTGGCACAGAATTCCGCACGTCGTATGGATACGATAGTAAAACACGACGTACGGATAGGGTTAAGTAGTGGCACAGAGTTCCCTAAGTCGTACGGATACGATAGTAAAACACCACGTACGGATAGGGTTAAGTGGTGGCACAGAGTTCCCCACGTCGTATGGATACGATAGTAAAACATGACGTACGGATAGGGTTAAGTGGTGACACATAGTTCCCCACGTCGTATGGATACGATAGTAAAACACGACGTACGGATAGGGTTCAGTGTTGGCACAGAGTTCCCCACGTCGTATGGATACGATAGTAAACCATGACGTACGGATAGGGTTAAGTGGTGACACATAGTTCCCCACGTCGTATGGATACGATAGTAAAACACCACGTACGGATAGGGTTAAGAAAAGTAGGACAAAACAGCTGGTGTCATGATGGATGACGGCGGGGATGGTACAAATTTGAACCCCCCACAGGGTGATCTTGAACTTGAATGGTTTTGAGATTGTCAAGGCTCATCGCCCCCTTTGGTTTTATGGGAGATATAATGTGTTCTTTCAACTCGAGAGACCACCTTTTAAACAGCATGAATGTGTCGTTATTTGGATTTAATGGTCAGTATTTAAATTCGAAGAAACGGGATCTTCAGTTCACTCTTTAATTTCTACTCCTCTTGAATAAATAAATAAATATATAAATAATAATTATTTAATTAATTAATTAATGAACTAATGAATAAATAAAAGAATAAATAAAAGAATAAAATAAAAGAATAAATAGATAAATAAATAAATAAATAAATAAATAAATAAATAAAGACAGCTGGGTCAAGTGATTAGAGTCCGAGTGAGCCTTGACAGAGTGACATTCAACGTCGAAGCAGCCCCCCCCCCCCTCCTAACTGAGTCAAACCAGTTGCACACGTTAAAGATCTCTTGGTGGTTTAAAATCGATAAGAGTAAGCTTCGGCCGCCACTTGAGCAAAATTCAAAATTTCCTACCAACTGAAAAGTTTAATGTGTTCCGCGCGCTCAATTGACCTTATGCAGTTGCGAGCGCCGTAAAACACTTTTTAAAAAAATCCGGGTTGGCCTTCTTGGCTAGCATTGTCCCCATAGAGGCATGAAGCCATATCGTAGATCGCCGGACCATGGCAGTCGGTACTTTTTTCTGTTACCATCCCTGTGACGATTCAATGTGAGTAGATGCAAATAAAGGAGGTAAAACAAAGGATGCGGGAGAAGGAGAGAGAGAGAGAGGGGAGGGAGAAATAGAGAGAGAGAGAGAGAGAGAGAGAGAGAGAGAGAGAGAGAGAGAGAGAGAGAGAGAGAGAGAGAGATGGGGGGAGAAGAGACACACACACACAGAAAAAAGAGAGAGAGAGAAGCAGAGAGAGAGAGAGAGAGAGAGAGAGAGAGAGAGAGAGAGAGAGAGAGAGAGAGAGAGAGAGAGAGAGAGAAAGAGAAAGAGAGAGAGAAAGAGAGAGAGAGAAAAAGAGAGAGAGAGAGAGAGAGAGAGAGAGAGAGAGAGAGAGAGAGAGAGAGAGAGACAGAGAAAGAATCACAATGTTTATGACGTATAAGTAATAACATGCAACTGTGCTGACAACACAAAAATGAGAACACATTTAATTTCAATTTCATCATATTTTCTCAGGATTTTTCTTGCATTAAAGTATTTTCAATCCTCTCAACGCAGGAAAATAAAAAAATCTGTTTGAGAAATACTCAGTGCTTTGAAAGTTTGTTTGAGTTGAAAAGGAGCACATCAACACAACATTGTTCATTGTTTCAGGAAGCAACATCCCTGCACTCCCGACATGTCCATTGATGCTCCGTTGCTCAACCCAACAAGAGTCATGTAATGCAGCGAAATACGAAAATAGACAAACAAGAACAGCACAGGGCTAGTAAAACATGAATATTATTTTGGAAAGTTTGAACTGGCACCATTCGAATATTTATAGAGGCATATAGTCAAG